TTGAGTTTTTATTGTTTAATACTTAATGCATTTTGTTTTAGTAATAATGGTTTGGCTATTTCAATGCAGTGGTGGCGTAACCGCTTGACAAAGTCCATTAGTATTCAATCCAGTTTATTTACTTCAATGTTACAACAAACCTGTACGCTTTTTATCTCAGTTGCCCTAGCATTGACATTTCTTCGCCTCTTTTGCCCTTACTCTTGATCACGACGACTCCCTTTTGGCTTTAATTTTGCATACGATCCTGTGTCATTTAGTAATTTTGACCCTTTCCAACTGAACAAAATGTCTCTTTAGTCACGGTATTAGTTCATATGTTTCACGTCCCAATTCCGACAAAACTTTCTCCACGTTCTAATTTTTAGTAAAAGTACGTGTTTCGATTTTTAGGCATTCTAACAGGAAGATAGGCAGTAGTTAGTAGTAAATGAAACCAAGTTATGAGTGAACGATAGTGAGAGAAGAAATGCAGCTAGGTGCATCAACGAAGTGCCTTGAAATCTGAGGTCGTCGATGTAGCAGCCGTCTGTGGATGAAAAGGATATTGTTTGACGATTGAGGGGGAGGGTATTTGGGAGAATGACGACCTCATGATATCGTGATAGCAAAGGTCACTGGGACGTGATAACCAACCAAGCATCGCGCCTCCCTCCTGTAGCATAGCATTGCGAAAGGCGTGAGAATACATGGATTGCATTGTTGCAAATTCGCCGATTTCTTGTTGTTGACCTGTGTAAAGATGATTTTAGTGAGACGCACCCATCTCTTCATAAGGAAACAGCAAAATATGCTTACAGTGTGAAATCGAGGAACTCGACAGTTCACCTTCACTTTCCGCACCACTGTCAATGCTGCTACTGTTTGTGATCATGGTCGTCTCGAAGCCTCCAGATGTGGGAAATGCATGAGGGTGTTGAAGAAAGTGTCCAGAAGACTCCTTTGCCTTAGAGGATACCGCCAGCTCGTCATCATTCTCGTCGTCGATTTCATCGTCCATATCATCCTCTTGGGGCAATTTTGCATCAAAATCGCCCTGCCACGTCGTTTGACGTGTAGCATCTCGTCGCAGTCGTTTTTCTTTTGCTCTGCAAACAATACACACTCATGATTTGATGACTCTACTAGCATTAGTAAATTGTTTTATATTATTTGGGAGCTACCATCAGGGTTTCTGCAATATCGGAGACTATAATTCAATTTTAAGAATGCATGCCGTACTAGTTATGGTGAACATTGGCTAATATTCTTCGAAGTAGAAGTTTAACCATTTAATCTTACAACGGAATTTTGTCCAGACCTTTGGTCGGCTGTTCGTTATGTTGCAGCTAAAATACTGGAGGTTGTTTCCTGGTACAATGGTCCACCTGGTATGAGTGTCGAACATTTAAATCACCTCACCTTCATCGGTCGAAAATTGCACTTTGAGTCATGGTATTGACGGATTTAATATTGCTGGATCGTCATAGTAGTAGTTGTGTTTTCAAGCTGTTTTTTCACATGACGTCCTCAAACCAGTAACACATGATTCTGAGCAGAAGTCAAAAGGTTTATAATGAAATCTTCGGCAATCTCGTAAAATGCCCAAACGTCCAGAACTTAGTCGTGTATGTCTTGTGAGTGTTGCAAATGCCAGATCTTCCCTTACTCTCGTGACATGTGGGACATAAGTTTAGCAGGAAAGGGAATGCTTTCCCACTGGAAACGGGAAATATTGGACAAGTATGAACAAGTGGGCTGAGTCTGAAACCGTTTCAGTCATTAATATAACCACTAGACACGCATGTTGAGCGGCACTGACTCGATGAATAGAAGATGTCAGTTGAAGGGTGATCGAAGCTCTTGCTGTACAACACGAAATAAAAACGCCCAGCTTCTTCGAATGTGGGTAATGCTAAATATTCCG